GGACACTAGAAGTGTAACCAGGACGGTTTCCTCGTGATTACCGGCAACGCAAGCGGTGGAATGACTCCCCACCGCACGGACATTAAGGGGGGGAGAGCGAGGAGCGCTCCCGTCAACGAGAAGGAGGGAGACGTTTCTAAAAGACGATTGATTGGAGATATTGAAAGCATTTTGACGCTTTGGTCCCTCGGAGGAGAAGCAGGCGGCGTGGCTCCGCAGCAGGAAGTGGAAGCACTATGCGAGCGACGTGGAACACGTGGACCAGCAGCTAATGGGGGGGAAATGAAAAGGACTCACATAATGGAGGTTGGTACCAAGAATAGAAACGCACCTCGGCCTCTTCCCCTCAGTGCTTTGCAGGCGGATGAGTGACGTCGGATCTCAGGTGAAAGGTCACGTTTTTAGGAAATAAAGGCGGGGCGCTTGGCCTCCGGCTTCTGGTCTTTGTGCTACGCTAAGCTAGCTGTTTCCTTCTTATTTGATGGACTGACCCAAGTTATTATCCAGACCATCACAGAGGTCTGGGAGAGTTGGCTTAGTTAGTTAACGAGTTTAGAGTTTGGATGATTTTCATTGTCACAAAGTCAACCAACGATAAGAGAACGCTGTGTTTACTAGTTTGATTACAGTTATTAAGGCTGGCGTTTCCCGTGTGGTGTTTGTGCGTGGAGGCGCATTCACTGGCAGCTGAATCACTGGCATTTAGCTGAATAACCAGAGACAAAGGGCAGAGATTTGGACTTCAAAGTACCAACTTACTGACTTCCTCCAGCACTAAAAGCCTCCTAGCCGTTACTCTCACCACGTGTCTTGCATGTGACCTGATTGCAGCAGTAGGTGAAGTCACGGAGGGGGGGGGGGTTGGGACACACCATGTGACCCCCCCCCCCCCCCCCTTTCCCCTCCGGTCACGTGCAGACCAAAGAAAGCGAGTGTGAACAGTGCGTAAGTTGATCCCCCTCGACATCCTAGGAATGCAGCGCTTATCAGCAGGAAATCCAGAAAACAAGGCTCTCTCCTCTCCAGATCTCACAGGGGTGAGACTCTCAGCGCCCCCCCCTCGCCCCCTTCCATCACCCCCCGCGTTTACCCCCAGCACAGAGTGCATGAAACACCTGGAGTATTGTTTATGATCAGAGTTTTCCTCTTTCGCATCCTCGAATCCACGCGACCGCACGATAATCACCGGGACCTCAGCGAGCAGCTGTAGTGTGATAGTATCAGCGCGCACACACACACACACACACACACAGGAACCAGCACTACCACTGCTGACTGGCTCTGATTTACACCAGCACTGCTCTCATGTGATCTCTTTCTCTCTGAGTGTGTGTGTGTGTTTGGATGGTTACAAAACAGTTAGGAGGACTAGATGAGTCAGATCACTAAATCCCCCAGACACACGCACACACACACACACACACACACACACACACACACACACACACACACACACACAGAACAGTTTGCTTTGCAGACTTTTAACTGTTTACTATTCAGTGTCTTGTCCGCTAATGCCACAGTGGCTTTTTAAAGTTGAAACCTGACCAGAAAAACAGCGTTGTTGACACTAGTGTACATATTCATGAAAAGTTAATGAGGCTCCAAAAGTGGGAAAATAGTAGAAAGTTTTTCTCAACTGCGCATCAATTTTACATTTTTACTGAAAGAACAAATAAAGGAAAGCACAGATCTGTGATTGGCTCTCCAACGGCACGAAAGTCCGCCGGCTGCTTTTCTCAACCTGCTCCATTGAGTCACCACATTGAGAATAAAGGCACTGCCACAATCTCTCGCTCCTCAGCGTGTGTCCATGTTTTCCAATCATGTTTGCACATGCAACCCTGATACAGGACACAGTATTTGCATGTGAAAGTGTGTCAAGGGTGTGTGTGTGTGTGCGTGTGCGTGTGTGTGTCGGTCGGCGGTATCGCGGGGAGCAGGTTTCCGTCCGTGGCTTTTGTCGAGAAGTATTTTCGGGGGCCGCCTGTTGCAGCGGGAGGATAAAACACTCTGGTCATCAGTTGAACAACAGCTCGGCCTTTTAAGCTGCTCGCAACTGATAGTTGTGTGTCTGTGTGTGTGTGTGTGTGTTGTAGTGATTGCTCTGTTCGCTTAGCGGTTTTCTGTAAATGTTATCTATACTTGCCAGGCATCATACAACAATAACTACAGCTCTTGCAGAGACTGTGCCTTATTTGTATTGTTTCAAATGACAGATTTCCACCACAAAATAGTTAGACTTTTCTAACTTTTCGCACCCGTGAAATGGTTTGCACCGCCTTGCTTCTGCTCTGCCGCGTTGTTGACGTGTCAATCGGTGAGACCTGTGTAATAATGTGTAATAATGGGTTTTTAATGGATGCACCTTTGTCCAGCTGCAACAAAAAGATTTCCTGCCTGAGCACAAACAAAAGTAAGCCTCATCTAATCGAAAAGGGAACGTTTAGAGGACGTCTTCAAAGATTTCTATGCATCTTTGATCAGGAGTAACATATTTCTCTCTCTTAACACACACATACACACACACACACTCCCTGTCTTTCTGTCAGGTGTGTCCATGGTGGGTTGGGTGGCTGTTGGGGGTTGCCTCGCTGCTGTGTGTGTGTGTGTGTGTGTGTGTGTGTGTGTGTGTGTGTTATACAAAACCCCTCCTCTTCTTCAATCACCGTGGGACTTCAGCTTTTGGCTCAGGTTCAGTTTCGGTCCCGTGGGAACAATCAGTGCTATTTTGGAAGTGCGAAAAACTATTTCAAAGAAAGCGTAATTTAACACAAACGACAGGTCCGCTTAATTACACAAGATTTAAGCTTGGTTTCCCAATATTAATAAAGAATAACGTTTGAAAAAGAATTCATTAGTAACTATTCCTCAACCTTATCGCTCTGTATTTGAAGGAAGAGAAGCATGTCGAGAGAAATGAAGCCAGCAAATCTTTTATTTTATGTACTGAGGCCATTTGAATATTGTGTTACTTTCACTTCTTGAAAACACGGCGACTCCTGCACCTGCTTGTACAATCGTTCTCTAACGGTGTGTCCGTGTACACTTTACCCCTCTGCTACTGTAATCCCCCGAATGCCCCCTCTGCAAGACTAATAAAGGATTATCTAATCTTATCTTATCTTTCTTCAAGCGTCCGACAAAGTATAGGTCCTCGCCCTACCTAACTGTATTGTTCTCAAACGTATGTTGTCATAGAAACACAGACGCACTCGGAGAATAGGCGTGTGCTGCTCTTAATATATGAGGTAACATTCTGTGTCATTGTTCCTCCTCGCTTTCATTCATGTTTGATGTTGCAGGGTACATTTGCCTCTGTGTGTGTGTGTGTGTGTGTGTCATATCCCTGAAAAGGCTCCGTGCGCTTTCTACTAATGTGGCTTAAAGCAAAATGGATGTTGGTGCCGAGTGGGACAGACAGAAAACAATGCCTGCTCTCTCTCTATCTCTCTCTCTCTCTCGATCCCTCTCACCCGACCACAAATGTTTCCCTTCCAACTATAAATACACCCCCGAAACCAGCGTCCTGTAACACGAAACGCAGCTAAAAGTGATTATCAAGCTCCAGAAGTCTCCTGTTACATCCATGCGGCTCAAGGCCCGGCCATTTGATATTTCTTTTCAAAGGCCCGCTTTTATTTTGTAAAGAGGCAGTTTCATTTGATTAGAAGCAGAGAGGCTTTCATATAAAAAGCCTGAATCCCGATGAAAGCTAAACGTAATCGATTGGAGAGAGGTTGTCTGCTTAGAGGCCGTCCCGGTTGAGGTGGGAGATGGAGAGGGAAGAGGTGAGAAAGCCAATAAAGCTGCATTAAGGATAAAAATGGAGGAGAGGACAGCGCGAGAGGAGGCCCACTGATTCTCCGCCTGCGCCGTCCGTCCCCACCGGATCCACGCGTGTTTCTCACGTGTGGATCGTAGCTCGCAGTTTGGCTGCCGCCAGGTTTACATGACAACGTTTAGGTGTAGGAGGCGGGAGACGGGAGGAGGAACTATAGAGTCGGCGAGCTCTCAATGCTCGCTGATATTCATCTCCTCCCTTGCCGGGAATCTTTTTGGGCAAGAGCCCCAGTACGGACGATACATCAGTGTTTCTGTGTCACGTCCGCTTTATTCATCGGCTATGAACAGCTCTCCATCTTAAACAAGGTCATCTTAGAGCAGCGAGTCAACCTGTTGCTGTGTGTGTGTGTGTGTGTGAAACTGGGCCATGCAGCCCCTCTTCACACTCAATCTCATTCACCAGCCACAGATTACTGTCACCTCTCGTTAGCCCGTCTCAACGTGTGTGTGTGTGTGTGTGTGTGTGTGCGTGCTCAGGCGTTTCAGCCATGAATGAAACAACCACCGCCGGGTTCCTTGGTTGCGATTGACCGCCGCCGCTTGTAGAACGTTTGCCGTTAGTGCTTCCTTGGGCTGAAAGCGAGCGAGGGAGAGGATCCGGCGAAGGACTAGAGGTGCTTCGCGATGGTCACATGTTAAATTGGCGCCTAAAAACACTTCTTTGAGAAAACAGCCCGGGCTGCAGGGAGATGGTAGCAGTGTGTGAACCAGGGACAAGTCCAGTCCTGCCGGAGACGCCTGAAGCTCGAGCAGCTCGCCGGCACGTCTCAGGCTCGACTGGAGGAGTAAAAAAACACACCCGCCTCTCCAGTTTAACGTCTCTCAGTAAAAGGTCTGTCATATTGTGGAGATCCGGCATTAAAGTCATAGAGACGCTTTCGGGGGTCTCACTCGGCGTGTGTGTGTGTGTGTGTGTGTGTGTGTGTGTGTGTGTGTGTGTGTAATTGGCATTCCTGTCTGAGTCACATGCAGTTCAGTGTATCCGTGGGAACAAAAGCTCTCATTCACTGAGAGAAGTTAGTCGTCTGTTTCCCGTGAGTCACGCAGCATTCTGTTGTCGGAGTGCGTTGATTCGTGTCCCATGAAAACCTTGTTGAATCACATACTGAACATTACACCCCCCCCCCCCCCCCCCCCTCTCTCTCTGTCTGCAGTGTGTCGGTGAGGAGAACTGGGTGGACAGCAGGACGATTTACATCGGACACAAGGAGCCTCCTCCAGGAGCCGAGGCCTTTATACAGCAGAGATTCCCCGACAACAGAATAGTCTCCTCCAAGGTCAGAGAGGTCACCCACAGGTCATAACACACCGGGACGGGCACAGAATGTAGCGCGAGAGTTATTCCTGGGAACAGGACGCACGGTTGTGGGAAAGAGTGGATGTTGTATCGTAAAGATAATGGGACTCTCTCTAAATGATGAAACCAAATCTGTTCCGCCTCTTTAGTCTTTTGACAATCTTACTACATACTGTTAGACAGCATCTTTCCATTTAATCAAGTTGCAGCACCATGTGTCTTTAACTTCTTATTCCTCCAAATTTGAGCTGACAGCAGATTTCTGACTGAACCGTCTCAATTCTTGCAGTACACATTTTGGAACTTTGTTCCGAAGAACATGTTCGAGCAGTTCAGGAGAGTCGCCAACTTCTACTTCCTCATCATATTCCTGGTGCAGGTAAATCACAGATTCAGGGGCTCATTCTCGTACCGCGTCCACGTCTGCCAGTTAACCCCCTCCGTCTGTATCCGACCCTCCAGTTGATGATCGACACGCCCACCAGCCCCATCACCAGCGGCCTGCCGCTCTTCTTCGTCATCACCGTCACCGCCATCAAACAGGTGAGAGCCTACAGCGGGTTTTTCTTCTTTTCCCACCGCCGCGCGCTGTCGCCGCACCTGCACCTTCCTCCCGCCCCCCCGGCCCCCACCCCGCCCACCCCTCTGTGTTTCTCTCCGGCAGGGCTACGAAGACTGGTTGAGACACAAAGCCGACAACTCCGTCAACCAGTGTCCCATCCACGTGGTGCAGCACGGGAAAGTGGTCCGCAAACAGAGTCGCAAGCTCAGGGTACGTTTGCAGGCCCTTCCTAGCAGAGCAATTCAGCCTTTTTGAAGTTGTGTGTGATCACGTGTCCCGCGAGAGGACGACCGTCCGAACTCAAGAGGCTTATGTGTGGCGAAGCAGACGCTTCGCTTATTAGGCAAACTGCTTCAGCATGAACTGCATTAGAAACACTAACGGGATGAGCGACATCCTTCAAGGCGCCACATGCAGGAGGCCCAGACTCCGATCATCGAGTTAGAAACGAGACACCTCGCTTCTGTCTTGCGTCTCAGGTTGGGGACGTGGTCTTGATGAAAGAAGATGAAACTTTCCCCTGCGACCTCATCCTCCTCTCCTCATCTCGAGATGACGGGACCTGCTTCGTTACCACGGCCAGTCTGGACGGAGAGAGCAGCCACAAGGTGTGTGTGTGTGTGTGTGTGTGTGCACAGTGTGTGTGCACGGTGTGTGTGTGTGTGTGTGTGTGGCTCGCTTCATTCGAGTCACTCTCTCTCCTCCAGACGTACTACGCGGTCGAGGACACCAGAGCTTACAACACTGAGAAGGAGGTGGACTGCATCCACGCCACGATAGAATGTGAACAACCGCAGCCGGACCTGTACAAGTGCGTGGACACACACACACACACACACACACACACACACACACACACACACACACACACACACACACACACACACACACACAGACACCCTCACTTGACTAAGTTGTGGCGTCTTTCCTGTCACGTCTCCCCCGCACAGGTTCGTTGGGCGTATCAACATCTACATGGACAGCGAGCCAGTGGCCAGGTGATGTTTCACATAATGTGGTTATTTCTACAATTCATCTTCCAAAATATCACATCCGTCCGTGACTTTTAAGGTAGTTCCTTTGTGACAAAATTGGTCTCTAAATCGGTTGGAATCGGTTTCTTTTAACTCTTGTCGCTGTTATTAACAAACAACACAGCTGCAAGACTTTCACCATAAGAGCGATCGAACGGTGTAAAAACGAGCTTTCGTCTGTTTTTCAGGCCGTTAGGATCAGAGAACTTGCTGCTCAGAGGAGCCACGCTCAAGAACACTGAGTACATCTACGGTAATATCCCCTAAAAACCAATATGGCAGAAATAAAAGAAGTATTTCTTTTTACTGCTTCACACTGTCCTCCTCACCGGATAGAGTTTGCTCAGTTGTCTCCAGCTGAAGTATTAAACATTGTCAGCAGTCATGTTGTTCTGGAAAAAACGTAGCAGAGACCTCGTGTTAGGATGTTGTGAGTGAGCCGCCCTCTCCTCCTCCCTTTCAGCGGTTGCCATCTACACCGGCATGGAAACCAAGATGGCTCTCAACTACCAGTCCAAGACTCAGAAACGCTCGGCGGTGGAAAAGTAGGACCTCTCACTCTCCTGCATCACGAGTCCATCATTCGTATTTTTTGCCCGTCCCATCGCTGGTGCTGCACTGATCACTCTCCTTCCATCTGGCGTTGACTTGCGTCTGGTTCTCCAGATGGCTCGTAGACTCACTGGAGGTGGATTACATTCACACTTCAGAGCGGGCCTGATTAGCTCCTTGGAATTGCAATTCTCTTCTTTCTGCCAAAATGGACTTGGCGCTGAGTAACGGCCTTGTGCGAGCTGATCCCTTTAATACAAGTATCGATTCCGTAGAGTCCAGATTTCAAATGTCCTCGTATAAAAAAAGGCCTCTTGTGCTCCCCCCCGTGCAGGTCGATGAACGCCTTCCTGGTGGTCTACCTGTGCATCCTCATCTGCAAGGCGTTCGTCAACACGCTGCTGAAGTACGTGTGGCAGGCGAGCCCCGACAGGGACGAGCCCTGGTACAACAACAGGACGGACACGGAGAGACAGAGACACATCGTGAGTCTGTGGGTCACAATCCCTCAATCCGGAAGACGAAAGCAAAAGACAAATTCTTCATCCCCTCTTTGGCTTCCCCGTCTTCCTCTTTCCACAGGTGGTCAGGGTGTTCACGGACTTCTTGGCCTTCATGGTCCTGTTCAACTACATCATCCCGGTCTCCATGTACGTCACCGTGGAGATGCAGAAGTTCCTGGGCTCCTACTTCATCATGTGGGACGATGAGATGTTCGACGAGGAGCTGGGGGAGCGCGCCGTGGTCAACACGTCGGACCTGAACGAGGAGCTCGGGCAGGTAGCGAAGAGCCCTGGGGAGGAGGGGGGGACACGTGGGAGGGGGGGGACGCGTCCGGCCGTAACACGTGTCCCGCTCTCTCTCTCTCTCTCTCTCTCTCTCTCTCTCTGTGCTCAGGTGGAGTACGTGTTCACGGACAAGACGGGGACGCTGACGGAGAACAACATGGAGTTCATCGAGTGCTGCGTGGACGGACACGTCTATGTTCCTCACGCCATCTGCAACGGACAGGTAGCGACCTCTCGGATCTAATAGCTTCTGTCATCTTGTGTCGATTATTGATGATGTTGACCCTCTTCGTCTCTGCCATCAGGTGATGCCCGGTGCAACAGGTATGGACATGATTGACACATCGCCGGGTCCCGGGGCCAGGGTGAGCATCGCCTCAGCTTGGCGTGTGTGTGCGTGTGTCTGTGCGTGGGAGGGTAACTCTGTGTTGCCGTCCTCCGCAGGAGCACGAGGAGCTGTTCTTCCGGGCGCTGTGTTTGTGCCACACAGTGCAGGTGAAGGAGGAGGAGACGGTGGACGGCATCAAGCACGGCATCCACCAGGGCAAGTCCACTTCCTTCTACATCTCCTCGTCTCCAGACGAGGTGGCGCTGGTGGAGGGCATGACGAGGTGGAGTGCGCACACACACACACACACACACACACAATGTCAGTGATTCACGTACGACTTTTCTATTGAAAACCAACTCATCTGCATACACATTAAGTTTAATTTAGGTGGTTTTCACTCACAATTAACACTTTAAGTTGTGCCACTTAAATTCCACTAATGGTGCCTCGCTTTGTGCTCAGACTCGGTTTCACATATCTACGACTGAAAGACAGTCACATGGAGATCTTGAATAGGGAGGATGAGATTGAGAGGTGAGTAAACCCATTAGGACAATGTTGTTTATCTCTTCAATGTTTTATTTTAACACACAGTTGTCAACGTTACTATTTCACCGCAGAAGGTATGATTTTCTGGCCACTATATGAGTGTATTCAGAGGATAATCTGATGTGCATAGTTGCAATATTATGTCATTACTGCAGCCGCATGCCTGCTATGAGTCACTTTGATGATCATCCATGTTGCGGTTCATTCAGTAGCATTTTTTAAATTAATTAAATTTAGATTTTAAAGAGCCCGGCAATCTGTTACATGCCAAAAAAAGGCTAATTTAATAAAGATCGGCCAAGATAAAGCCGATCAAAATCCAATCCTTCCTCTATTGCACTCTATGGTCACTGCTCTCCGCGTTTTAACTTAACCACAGGATCATTTCACGCTTTGTGTTGTTGTTGTTTTTTTAGATTCCAGCTCCTGGAGGTTTTGACGTTTGACTCCGTCAGACGGAGGATGAGCGTCATCGTCAGGGACAGCTCTGGTAACGCACTTCCAACTGTGTGTATGCACGTGTGTGAGCGGCTTGCCGTGTTCGGTTCCTTCCTCACACACGTCTCTCTTCTACTCCCCTGTGCGCATGTGGGCAGGCGAGCTCTATCTGTTCTGTAAAGGCGCGGACTCCTCCATCTTCCCCAGGGTCGTATCAGGCAAGGTGGATGAGGTCAGAGCTCGGGTAGAGCACAACGCAGTGGTGAGAGCACACACACACACACACACGCGCTACAATAGATTCATTATTACCTTTATGATCGTCCAACATTCTGCAATTGAAGTGCACATAACAAATGTAAACTGCAACTACAAACGGCTAGATTGAAACCACTCTGAAGGCGAGGTGTCCTCCTGCAGGAGGGCCTGAGGACGCTCTGCGTGGCCTATCGGCATCTGAGCCCCGAGCAGTACGAGGAGGTTTGCCACATGCTGAACGGGGCCAAACTGGCACTACAGGACCGAGACAAACGCCTGGCCGAGGCCTACGACGTCATCGAGAAAGACCTGATCCTGCTGGGAGCGACTGCCGTAGAGGACAGGTGGAGGATCTCTTGTTTTCTAGAAATCCAGTCCAATGTAACCACCACGCTTCTAAATGTCTGCACCTCAAACGTCTTTATTCCGCTCGAGCTGCTACCAGAACAAGTCCTGACCCACTTCTGAGATTGAGGACGAGAGACAGTTCTACTACAGCAGCTAGAGTGCAGGCTTTGAAGAGATTGTTAAGAGGAATCAACCCATCCTTTACTGAAGGCGTCAGACTTTTTCACCGATGTCGCTGGGATTTAATCTCCTTATAAAAAGAGCCGTAAAATGTTTTCCGACTTTCCTGCACGCCAGGCTCCAGGAAAAAGCGGCAGACACCATCGAGTCCCTCCACAAGGCAGGCATGAAGGTGTGGGTGCTGACCGGCGACAAGATGGAGACGGCGGCCGCCACCTGCTACGCCAGCAAGCTGTTCCACCGCAACACCCAGATCCTGGAGCTGACCACCAAACGCACCGAGGAGCAGAGTCTCCACGACGTCCTGTTCGACCTGAGCAGGACCGTCCTCAGGCAGCACGGAGGCATGACCAGGGACTCCTTCTCTGGGTGAGGGACGATGGGAAAATCCACGGGGGCTAAAGAGCAAAAAGGAGAAAAGCTTTGTAGCATTTTTCCGGTACCCTTCTTTCGTCCAGGTTATCGGGTGACTGCACGGACTACGGACTGATCATCGACGGGGCCACGCTCTCCGCGGTCATGAGGCCCACCCAGGAGGACTACAAGGAGATCTTCCTGGACATCTGCCGCAACTGCAGCGCCGTGCTCTGCTGTCGCATGGCGCCGCTGCAGAAAGCCCAGGTGCGGATAGTAAAACATGAGACGCCACGTGAGACACGACACCCATTAGCTTCATTGAAACACGATCTCCCGGTATTTCTAGATCGTGAAGCTGATCAAAGCCTCCGAGGAGCACCCGATCACGCTGGCCGTCGGAGACGGAGCCAACGACGTCAGCATGATCCTCGAGGCCCACGTCGGCATCGGTCGGTAGACGCGCCGTCGTCCGACCCCGTCTCACGCCGCGGAAATACGGAAAAACCCACGGAGGCCGTTACCTTGACCTCTCTCGCGCATTCCTTTTGTGTCTCAAGGCATCATGGGTAAGGAGGGTCGTCAGGCAGTGAGGAACAGCGACTACGCCATCCCGAAGTTCAAACACCTGAAGAAGATGCTGCTCGTCCACGGACACTATTACTACATACGCATCTCGGAACTCGTGCAATACTTCTTCTACAAGGTATTCCCTCTGCTCAGTGAATACACTGTAAATACACGTAAATTCATGATTTATTCAGGCTTGTTTAACTGAGGGTGTTGCTTATTTGCTTCTTTTGTTCCTGGTGTAATATCTAACAATTACAGTAAAACAAGTAAGAATATTCCAATTGATCTCAATCAATTTTCTCTTTTATTTTCTTTACAAAACTACGTTGAATTCCGTCAACAAAATCAAAACAAAATCATCTAATCTTTTCACGTGCAAGGACAAACAAACAACAAGCTGCATTTATCTCTCATTTATCTTTTTTTCTTTCCCCAGAATGTCTGTTTCATCTTCCCCCAGTTCATCTACCAGTTCTTCTGCGGCTTCTCACAACAGGTACACACACACACACACACACACACACACGCACACACACACACACACACACACACACAGAAGTACACGTATGAGAAGTCTAACGATGCTTAACACTCTCCGCCCGCCCCCCCAGCCGCTGTACGACACCGCCTACCTGACTCTGTACAACATCAGCTTCACCTCGCTGCCCATTCTGCTCTACAGTCTCATCGAGCAGCACATCAACATGGACATCCTGAGGAAGGACCCGTCCCTCTACAGGTTAGATTCCTCGTCTGAGGGGTCTGTGACGTCGGGCCACGACCCGCTGCTCTTTCTTTCCTAATCCTGCTAACTTCCTGCACATCGCCGCAGTGCGCCGGGGTTTATCGATCCCCCGCGTGTCCCCCGACAAACACAGTGTTTACCTGATAGCAGAAGATTGAGGTATTTTAAAGAAGCAAAAGAGCACTCTAAATCAATTTGACTAATAGACTGCAGGAATAAACATTTTCTATCGATTTTACCTCCATTCACGGGGGACATTTGCTCAATACAGGCAGATCAAGTTCAAGTGGGAGCGTTGCACTTGAACATGATCTGATTGGGTTCCGCTTGGTCAAAGCTCAAATATTTCCAAATAGAAAACACGCAACTTTCACATGATGTGACCTAACTTTTTTCTTTTTTTTCTCAGTCTGAAATCTTCTTTTTCTCACAATGTGACTCTAAACGGTCTTTCATCAGAAACAATGAAGCCGCCCGAGTACGCACATAATTACTCTCGAGTCATTTAGTATTTCAGTGTTCATAAGGCGCCTGCATCCGTGATGTATTTATGAATTACTGCATCTGACAGCTAAATCTGATTAGAATATTACATTGCAGTCATTTCTGGTTACGGTCCTCCCGAAGGCAGCTAATGCAGTATTGATTCAAATGTGAGCTTGTCAACATTAGTCATTCACGCTGTTTATTTCCAACTTGTGTTTGTCCTCAGGGATATCGCTAAGAACTCGTTGCTGCGCTGGCCCATCTTCATATATTGGACTCTCCTGGGTGTGTATGACGCCTTGGTGATGTTCTTCGGGGCCTACTTCCTGTTTAACAACACCACCTTCACCAGCAACGGACAGGTAACGGCCGCGTGTCAAAGACGGCTCCCTTTAATCTTTAATCTCAGTCTGAGACAAGAACATATTTAGTTTTTGATGAACTACTTTTATTTGTCGTGACAAAACCCATCTTTCTAATTTGCTGCTCGGCATTTGGCTTTTTAGAGCCTTTAAGGTGTTTTAAGTTTATTAATACATAAAAGCGAAGCATATTGGGTTTTTTGTGGTTCCAATATCAGCGTATTGTCACTGTTTTTTAGCAATGTATTTAAACTGCAGCCTTTACTGAAAGACACTGAACTGCTTTGAAGGTGGATTATTATTTTTAATTTTTACGTGAATCATCTGACAGATTCATTTTGGAAGTTTGTGTTCACGTTTGAACTAAAGGAGGTGCAGCCTGTGTGTTAGTGAATTAGAAAATTCGTCTCAAGGCGACAGACATTGACATCCGAGCGGCGGCGGCATGGCGGGTCTCCACCTTCCCCTGTTTCTCTATTCGTTCCTTTCCATCTCTACGGGTGTTCGCGGTGACTTCTGCTCTCAGTTGCTTTGTTCCACTCGTTTGATGTTTTTATTTTATTCTTCTCCGGCCACAAAACTGTTGTTTACTTTCTTATGATTTCCTTCTTCTGGCCCTCTCCTCTGCCCTCTTCCTCTTCCTCTTACCTTTGTGTTGCTTTTTCTTTTCTGTTTTTTTGCCTCTCTCTCCTCCTCCCAGCTAATGACAGCCAACACACAGATGGTAAGCCTGCATCTGTCTCTCTGACGTCTCTCCCTAGTTTCGGTTTCCAATTTCCTGTTTGGTCAACCTCTCATCGTCCATTCTGCCTCCGTCTCATGTGCAGCCGTCGGTGGCTGCTGTAGTCACGCCGACTGTCAGCGTTTGTGTAGTGGCCCGTGCTCATGTGTCCAGGTGTAAATGTTATGACGTTCTGTGTGCATTGTGTGTGTGTGTGTGTGTTAGAACTTCAGTTAAAAGCAGGGGACGAACACATGTAGAAAAAGAGTTGCACTCCTACTTCGTGTATTTCAAGTGTCTCTGCAATTCTCCTTTTTAATAATAGAAATCCAAACATGTTTTACTGTTTGTCCTCGATATTTGGGTTGTTGTTACAGGTTTATAAGTGACTATAACTGGAATTATGAAGTCACTTCTAAAGTCTGTTAGAAGTCATTGTGTTTGTCGTTTCATTCATCAGCATCACATCAACATTACAACGCATTCATCCGGGTGGCATTGAGAAGCTTAAGTTTCACCTCTTCCTGCTCGTCTGTGTGTTTTCTTTCCTTAATTTAGTCATAGATCACGACTGAAATTCAGTTTAGCCAGGTTGAAAGTATGAATCACTAATCCAAGTGTTGGTTAGAAAGAACATTTAGGTCTGACCTTCATTACTATAATCCCCTTTTGTCAGGATTATTATGGAAAATACCCTTTAAGAATTAGTAGTTTCTTCTGTCAGCAGAAATAGATATATTTTTGTTACTCTCTCACTTGCTGGAAAGCCACACTGAAATGTTTCCATTCAAATCTGAGTTGAGATCACCTCACTTCTTCTGGTTGTCCGCTCACCCATCGGGCGTCTGACACTCGTCACCTGAATGTCGCCCCCTGGGCCCCCTGCCGTCTGTTTGATTGATCCAATACTTCATTATCTGCATCTGTTGTTTGCCTCCGCAGATGTTTGGTAACTGGACATTTGGGACGCTCATCTTCACCGTGCTGGTCTTCACTGTCACATTCAAGGTAACCACACACACGCGAGCGAGGCCGGATGAAGATGGCATCATAAGAAGGAGCTGCGGCATGTGACACGTGGAAGGTCTGCTCTCTCAGCTCCCCCCTCTCTCTTGTAGTTGGCTCTGGATACTCATTACTGGACCTGGATCAACCATTTTGTCATCTGGGGCTCACTGGTTTTCTTTGTGGTCTTCTCTCTGCTGTGGGGAGGAATCATCTGGTGAGCTGGAAGATAAACGTTTTTTATTTTATTTGAGCCTAAAACCTGATAACCTGCTGAGAAAAATGCCTTCATTGCCTTCATTTTGATGCCTTCTCTCTCCCCCAGGCCTTTCCTCAACTACCAGAGGATGTACTATGTCTTCATGCAGATGTTGTCCAGTGGTCCAGCCTGGCTCAGCATAATCCTTCTGATAGCAGCCAGTCTGCTGCCAGATGTGTTGAAGAAGGTGATCTGTAGGACACTGTGGCCCACCACCACTGAGCGCATACAGGTGGGTGCCTAGCAATCGAGTGCTTTCCCTCGAGCTCAGGTGAAACAGCGCCCTCTGCTGGTCAATCTAGCAAGTTCACCTCCAAATGTTAGAAAGAACTGAACGTTTGCAACCCTGGAAGTGGTCTAAATCACATCCGTTAAATGTTTAATGTTTCTAGACCAACACGTAGTATTGTTTATTAACTGTGTGTGTGTGTGCGATGTCTAACTGGTGACTGTGGGTCAGCAGACGTATGCTGCCTTTGGCTACGTCCCTACTCTGTTGGATGTAAGTCAGGAAGCCTCCCTGTCTGTCTGTGTGAAGTGCTCCTTTATTTCTTAACAATTAAACTTAAAGTAAACGAACCAAACACTGCAAATATATTTGAATTCCCATCAAGCTCTTTTTTGCCTCTAAACCTTTCTGGTTTGTAGTTGACATGAAGCCTGTTACATGTGTGTGTTTTTCTGTTTGCAGTGAGGGTTGAAGTTTGACCCGAACAACCTTCTATATTTCTGCCTTCATGTCTCAAACTGCTCCTTTCTCTCAACCATCCATGTAGCGGTGGTCCAGACGTGGCTTTACGCCTGTGGATGGGAGGTTTCGTGTGGCCTTCTGTAAAGACCTTCAGAGCTTTAACTCTCCCTCTTCTCTCCTTCCCCTGACTCCCCGGCTCCTCCCTTTCGTCCTCTCCTCCCTCTGGGCCTCCTCGGCGCGCAGACTAAGCGTCGCTGCCTCACCTCCGAGCCCTCCACCATCTTTATGCTGTCTCAGACTTCCAGCAGAATGAGTTTCTAACCCCAGCCCTCCTGGAGGTGACCCTCTGCCTCTCCTCCCGTCTGCACCCTCCACACAATACCTCTTCCTCGCTTTTTTACTCCCTCTTCTTGTATCCTGTCCCTTTCTCACTGCTGCTGTTTTGCATGAAGTGACTCTTCTGTCAGTCTGATTGCATGCCAGCGATGATGTTCCTGGTCGACCCCTAATATGCTTGTCTTTGATTGTACATGTGTGTGTTTGCGTGTATGTGTGTGTGTATGTGTGTGTCCACAGCGTGTGAAGGCTAAAAAAGGGTGTGAGAGCGCCCTGGACTACCAGAGCTATGTCACCTTACTAGATGGAATAGCTCTCAGAGAAGCCTAGAGGGCCTCAGCACGGTAAAACACGCCCTGCCACGCTGCGCGCGTGTGTGTGTGTGTGTATTGGTAATGGGGGGGTGATGTTAACAATGTGATGGGTTGCCGTGATGAGACGTTTAACCGATTGGAGAGTTTTACCTGACTAACATGGCATGGGTTACAGTGTGAGTGAGGGTCTCCGAAGTCTGAAGCATCCAACAATATACAATGTACACGGAGCTCCGGCCCCCCCTAGTGGTGCATCCTAGCCTCGCCGCAGAGCCAGAAGGCTCCACACACAGTTGGACTTCCTGCATGTTTACCTGCTATGTTCATATTTGCATGGTTTTGTCTGCCTGTTTTTATGCTGCTCTTTGGCGTTACAGACTTTATTTGCTCATTCTCGTGTGTGTTACTTATTTTCTCTGGCTGCATTGCGTCTGAACCGGATGGACAGGATGTTATCATCGCAGCTGGCCAATTGGATTAACTTGCTTTTTTAATTAAATCATATCGATAATTGAATTCTCTGCTGAAGCCGGTTCAGTTTACTGCTTTTTGCAGTGGCTCGTTTGGCCTTTGTCCCTCCAGCAATAAGCTGCTGCTGTCAAGTTATTCCAAACAAAACTGGAAAAACAGTTTCAGTGTTTCAATATGGCAAAGTTTTAATCTTACCAAATCCCCAAACATATTATTGTCAGAATTCCACTCGTTGGAACAGAGGCCAAACCACGAGGCCAGCTGGGATGACGACGTCTCCTCCATGAAGCTCCTCCGTTGGCCCCCCTGCAGTGCAGTGAACCTTTTCTCCTTCTCCGTTTTCCCTCACAGAACGCCGATAAAGTCTACGAGGGCCAGCTGTCCGAGTTCACCCCGCTGGCGTCCCTGCACGCCCCGTCCAAGGCCGGCAGCCACCGGCGAGGCTCGGGCAGCCGACGGAACGCCCCGAACCCTCGAAGGTCCGAACCCTTTAGCAAGAAAACCATGTTCACGCGCTGGCAAAGAGCGCCCGACTACTCCACCTTCGCTCCCCTCCTTCGATTCGCCGATGGCTCCCGCTGGCCCAAGCAGGGGCGCGGCGAGGCGGGGCCGGGCACCTCAGTCTAGTTAATCTCTCGTGTTTTTTTTTGTTATAGTCCGAAGGAGTGATTTAACAGATCGGTCCGCATCTGGAAAGTAAAGCGTACAAAAAGTAACTCAAACTAATTCATTCGTGTTCCTGGACTCTGAACATCTGGGCAGGATGCTGATAGCACGCGCTCCCTCTGGATAGGGGGTCACAATGAAGGTGACCTTCAGAAGTGGCGGCTCTGTGGAGGATTCCATCCGCCACATCAAACTCGAGGGCTTTGATTTCTTAAATCACAAAAAAAAAAAACATAGAAACGACGCCAATGTGTTGTGTGATGGCGCTGCTGATGACGACCGGCAGCTCCGGCTTTCTCTGACCAAACATTTCCTTTTTCTTCATTCCTTCCGTCTCTCTCTTTCTCCTTCTGCCTCCTTTTCAGGACTAACTGGTGTTGCCTGTGTGCAAACGTATTATCCCGGAACGCTCGCTAGGACATTGTAAGGAGGACCGCCGTAGAGTAGCGACGCCTAGGTGTTTGAGAAGTGGCGCTGAGTTGGTCTGTTTTCCCCGTTTTTTTTAACAGCCAGTGGATAAAATGTCTCAAAGAAAGACCGACTTTAGTTTCACATCCAACACCTAAGCTTTCAAACTCCCACGTAGTTAGTCTGTGTTACACACTTTCCCTGTAGACCTTCTCCTCCCCGGTAACCGTGATGCTACGTAGAGCTATTCACGGCTTAGAAAACGCGTCTTCTGCGCGCCTTAATGTCCCCTTGTAAATACCACACTATCTGTCGCAGAGACCTTTAACCAAAGAAACAAAGACACACAGACTGCTGGATGCATTGGAGCCGAAGTGTGTGCTCTATAGGTTGATCCTAGGAATCCTAAAGACGAGACGTAGACAAAAACACAGCTCTGTAAATGTTTAAAGCATGAAGTGCATGTCTAGTCAAGCTTTGAAAGCTTTGATTTTAAATTGCATACTATTTTAACTTACTTATAGCACCTTAAAAAATGAACATGCAAAACGTGTCCTTGCCGAGATGATCTCAACACAACTAAAGTGCCCCAGTCACTACTCGATGCCTTAAACGAAACCTTTTTCTGAGATTTAATCATTTGAAAAGGGGACATTTGTTGATGAGAACACATTATGAAGCTGGAGGCGTGGGCTGGTTAGCTGAGCTTAGCACAAAGAAAGGAACACCGGCGTCATGTTTGAGAGAGTTACCGATCTTAACCAATAACAGCGTTTCACCAAATGTCAAACTATTCGTAGAGGTTGATAGAAAAATAGAACTTTACGCACCCAACGAGTGGATGACCATCTACAACGGTCTAATCTACCACGAGAAGGGTTGTGTCTGAATTCTGTCTCACACGTTCCTTCCTCAACATTTATCCTCTCTTTTTAGCTCTTTCTCTCTCTCTCTCATTCTCCTCGTGGTGAAGCAATGCTGATGTGGAAGCTCTCTGAGAGCCGCTTCCACCCCGACCTGGAGACCCTCGCTCCCGTGTCCCCTCCTGCATCTCCTCGGCCGTCCGTCTCTCCATCTGTCGCCGTGAGGCCGAGTAGAAAAGATGTTTTCCGTGTACTTTTCTGAACCAAAGCCTTGTTGCTGCTCCAGATCCTTCTAGCTGCTTTTACATTAGGTGCCTTGTGGTAGTTTATCTCTCTCTCTCTCTGCTGAACTGTCTTTTGCTTTACGGTAAACCTACGACTAATAAGAGGCATTTGCATCGTGCAAACGCACACGCCGGTCGATGGATGAACGGATGCATGACTGTCCGTTGTAAGAGCGTCGTTCTGTCCACTTATTCAGATACATCATATAATCAATGAACAAAGTCATTTCTTCTTGCACAAAAACATTCAATGTTTAATATCCGTTTTTAGGGCGTCTGCCGCTGCAATGATATTTTTATTGTTTTGTAACAATTGAGTGTAAAATTCCTCTTCAACACATGAAGAGTGGGAACACTGAAGCACACTGGAGAGATGTCTCGCGGATGCGATGTCATCTTCAACCTTTATTTGAATGAGGTAGAAAACTTGAAGAGCTTTGTACTCAGAATGACTTTTTTCTGATTTCTCAAAATGTGGGTTTTCCTACTCAATATTTATATGAAATTGACTTACAGATGAATTCTGCTTTTGGTTCTCTTCAACCAAATAAGAACAAAAAAAGGCTCATATAGTATCTGACCCGGCAGATCAGAACTAACTCAACCAAAGATAAATTCCCCATTAAAACCTTTCACCGTGAGGTGTGGCTTAGAAGAGAAAACTATGGAATCATTTGATGAGAGAAAAAAAAAACAAATCCCGCCGGTACTGTCGTGCTTTTTCGCGTTGGAGAAAACATTCTGCAGGCAGCATTTGATGCGTGTCGTGTTCACTTAGAGGAACAAGTAGCTTTAATAAAGGTTTTCTGCGGCTCCGTTGCACTGGACATCACACGTCTGATGATCGTCACTCTGCCGTAGAACACAAGCCATTAACGGTGGATTTCAAGGTTCAACCGACCTAAACTGACAGCCTTCGAACAGAATGTTATCTTTCTCTTTTACGATGTATTATTGTATAGTGTTGTATTTATCATAACCAACCGTATCTGTAAATCGCTGTGTACTCAGATACAGTATATATATGCAATATATATAAAGCTAGTTATGTTAATTGATGTACAGTTTTGGGGTCTTTTTATAAAACAGTTTTTAACAGTAACATATCAAGATTTAAATGTGGATTTTTTTGCCAACATTTCTGTAGCTATTGATGGCAATCGACTGTATATTTGCTTGGAAATAAAAGCCAGAAGTGGAAATATAAAAAGCAGAAACAATGTGATTTTTCTGTTTATTTACCGCCGCACATCATGTATCTGCCACTGGGGCGCAGTAGAGTATTTCTGACGTTGGCTAAACAAGAGTTTCTGAGTATCTGATGAGAGCTGATGAGATACAATCAAAAGCTTAGTTGATGAGTTTAGAGCATCCAACCAACACGTGCCTCCCATATGCTGCTCAAACTGAACCACCAGTTGTGCTTTAAACGACACACAGGAAATGGTTCAAATAAAGAGGACAATTTTTAGATTTGATGTGTTTCCCCAAAGTTGCTCCAGGGCTGCCGTCTGCACCATCCGAGGACGTCAACAAGATTAGGATGGAGGTTTTCGGATCGATTGGATTCTCTTCATCCTTTTCACTTCTCGTCTGCGCTGATCTCCACTCCTCTCCTCCACAGCTGGCAGCCGATGAGACCTGCGAGTGGGTCTGACAAGGATGGAGAAATATCTAGGGCACGACTGTCAGGAGGTAAAATGTGGGGGGGGGGTATGAAAAGTAGATGGTGAGAAGTGCTCGTGCATTTCCTTTGTGGTCGCACAGACCTCTACCAGCACCCAAAAGATGGATTTTTCTCCCTCGCTAAACTGCAATGATTCATTCAACAATTTAGAAAAATCTGAGAGCAAAAGTCTACAAGTTTTACAACCTATTCCATCAAATGCTGTGAAAAACACAGATATACATATAAATATGCGTGGAGTTACACCTTTAATTTCATGTTTATGGTGTATTACTTAGTATAGACTCTAAAATATACAGAGAGGTGGGAGGTGTAATTGAAGGTGCAACCAAGTCCTTTACAACCTCTTCATCACCAATTTAGGCTTCCTTCATCTCGAACTGCTTGAGGTTGGATTACTTGAAGCACATAGCACACTTTTTAAGGTGATGTAGGTGTTTGTGTGTGTTTTGTGAGGGCTGGAACGAAGTGTGTTAGATTGAGATGAATTCACACCTCCAATCAAGCAAAAATACTCAACATGTCGAGAAGGAATAATGCAACGGTGGAGACGGAAATTGGAAACTGGCAGAGAAATCAAAGGCCCGGAGGAGGTATCGGTTCCTTTTCCGGTCCTGTTGAGAGTCAGACTTATTTTGTCTGAAGCTGCAATAAAGCAACAGGTGACTGTTCAAAATATGAGGATTCAATAGTAATCCTGTAAAATCCCCTTTTGCCGTGAAACGAGGGATAAAGGGAAAGTTCACCACTCGGGAAAGCACTCTAGTTTACTTTCTCGCCATAAAGGTTGATGCGATCTTCTTCCTCTCCTCTGCAGCTAGTCCCAAAAATACTGCTGCCCAACACTTTGCTTCGACGGCTCCTTTTCTACAGCTCTCATCCAGTTCGAGGCTTCCATCACTAAATGTAAGGCCACTCGTTCCCTCCGCACACCATCATAAGCAGACAGAAGAATGAAAACCACCAACAAAGACCGGCCGGAGGGTCTTCCGGCACCTTCTGCTGCAACTTCCAGCTCGGTACCGAAGGCTGGGACACAAATACGTTGCAATGACTTTGAGTGGAACGGGAAAAGCTACGTTGGAACTGTAAACATTTGCATGTTCTTTCTATAGTCTGGTATGATAATTTAAGCTGCATGTTTTGGGGGCAATATATCATGATTTCCTATGAGTGTATTTTAATATCAGCTGACAGGCCGAAGAATCAAACAGGAGCTGATTTGTGTTGATTTTATGGGATTACCAATTAACAATCAGCTCTCAAACACCGTCATCTTGTGTGTGTTTTTTCACATGTTTGTGCCCAGCAGCAGGTCTGACACTCAAACTAGATTTAAATCATTAGAGCTATAAGAACACACACACTCAAGCACCGTGTTTGTGGTGTCAACATGTGTCTCTATTCACAGCATTAAATGGAGGGTGGTGATGGAGGCATCCAAACGTGAAATCTACGAATTAGCTGTGAAATTGCTGTTATTTGCTTCCAATTGTTTATGACTCAGTAAACACTTTTTTTCTTTTTGGGGGGAGAGAGGAGGGAACAGGGGTGAGTGTGGTGGGGGGTCCGCTTTTGTCTACTCAAAGAGCTGTCTCATTGTTGTAGTCTGGCCTTTAAAGAGGGATGTTTTTTAGATGGATCACATGCAAAATCGCCGCGAGGGAGCCTCATGAATTGATTTGATGGTGGTTAGTCAACACTAACAAAAACACCTAACGTTTTAAGAGACACTGCAACACTCGAGAGAAAATGTTCCGTTGTAATAGCTCCATCTGTCTCTTGCTCTTCCCTTCACCTCCTGTCTCTAAACGAGGGAAATTGTGCAGAAACTTCATTCCATCTGTCCTCCAGTCCCGTCACTGCTTTGTCACTCTCGTCAATGTCGTGGCACACAATAGAATCAAATAACACACAGAACATGACAATATGAGGCTCCAAGACTTTGAGATAGCTGAAAGCTCGAGGGGGCAGTAGGCGAGTACACATGAACATTATACTACACGTGTGCACAGGCCACTGTTCCATTCTCCTTTTCGCACGGCTGCATGGGATTTTATGGGCGACTCCTTTTGAGAATCAGTAGCACACGGCAGAAAATACAGGAAAAATACAGGATGGACACTTGACTCACATAACTGTCCTTCGTTTAAAATTAAAATAGAAAATTGTGTTAATATGTACAAATAATATTCATGTGTAATGTAATAACAAGGCTTAACATATTTAAACAGTAAATATGCTACAGTTTACTATTCAGTTCAAGTGCTGTATTTTATTAATGGGAATAACGATAAGGAAGGTATCGTTATGTGTGTAAACAACTGTATGCCGGCAAAAACCTCTACTTTCTCTACTATATATATATATATATATATATGTATATATATATATATATATATATGTATATATATGTATTTGAATAGTAACTGTTTATGTAACTTACTTACTAGATATGAGTGAAACAGCGCCCCTCTTGGTTTATAGCCCTATCCGTGTGGCCGAAACGAGTACTGCAGGCTAATTGAGTTCCAGGTGGAAGTCGTTACTCGTTAATTAAACACAGTTAAGTGTGAAACAATGACGCAGCTTCTGTAAGACCAACACGACACCGAACGGGCCGCTCGCTGTGAAAGAAACAAGTCTGTTGTTTTTATTTAACAGACAGACAGACAGACAGGTAATTTGAATTAAACAACCCGTTTACTCAGTGATGTTTGCTAACGTTAGCTTGGAGGTCGGCTAACGTGCTAAGCTAGCTGATGAAGACGTTTGTAAATAAACAAACAAAGAGAAAGAAGACTGTCAACAAACAAACAATTTATAAAAACAACAAATACAGTTGGACATCAGTGGACATCTCCATGAAATAAAGGGGAACCGTCAACGGACGTGAGTAAAGATACACTACTAGTTGTAAAAGTTATGAGCCCTGTTCCTCGTACGTGGCTAACTGAGTTAGCCGGATACTTTTCAGGATGAGATGACGTAGATCAGGCTTTTTGGTTCCCCGAAGCAGGTTCGTCTAAATCACCATAGCAACACATCGAAAAACTTGAACTTGCTCCGGCGCAGCTTCATCTGAGCTGCTGGATTAGTTCATCACTCCTCCGGAAAAAAAGGCAGCTCACTTCCTCGTTGATAAAGGAGCGACATCAGTTAGATCAACGTTTTATAGGGACAGACTTCTCCGAGATCACAAAGACCCGTTTAGCCGCGATGACGGACGTCCTGTACGAGCGCTACAGATGCTGAGGACAAGGAATCATTTATTTACAAGAAGATTTCCCCGTTACGTTACGTGAAACACCACACGCTGCATCCGAGCGTCCACTGTCCCGCAGACTGTCTCACGTACTGTCCCACGGAATATCTCCCACTGTCCCTCATGCTGTCTCACTCACTCTCTCATGTCTCACACAGTGTCTCACACACTGTCCCTCATACTGCCCATACGGTGTTGCGATGCAGAGAACATCTGGAAAGCCGCTGCATGTCGTGGTGTTGGTTTATTTGTCGTTTAATAAACTTCTGGATGTTCCACATTTCACTGCTTCAATTGATCAAATGTCTGATTATGAACAATTGCCGTTATACTGTTAAAAAAGTGGGTTTAGGTGATCGACTCTAATACGCGCACGCGTGATTATCCTGATGATTGACATGTGGTTCAAACTAACGAGACTGTTTGAGCGCTGATACGCCTTCGAGGAACCGAGGTAGCCTGATGTTAATCATCTCGGTAATCTGAGCTGGATAATCGGACATTTGATCGACTTAGTTGAACCACGTACGAGGAACAGGGCCCTGGTAAGTGTCTCTGCTTAGAATCATTGCTTGGCAACATTCACAATACAAGAACAAATATCGTGTATGTTGATAATTGGGGATTTCACAAAATATTTACACAATGCGACTTTTGACAAATAATAATATGACAGAACAGGCAGGTAAGTTCACATAAGATGACAACGTCTCTTTACTGTAAAGCATCCTTTAAAACCAAAGACATTTGTGTGATGTTCGGGTACCAAAAAATACGATATCTGGTCTCTTACTGAGAACGTGCACAGGAAACACGCGTAAACGTCACACATCTGTGATGTGTGCGTTGTGTTTGATGTGAACATAGACTTGTCCACGTCCTCATGCCGCTGACTGCCTCCTCTTACAAACACACTAATCCCCCCCCAAGACAGTGTCTTTTTTAACCTCTTCCTACACTCCCTTTTGTGTAAGATTCATGTTGCAAATCTCACGACCCCTCAGACTGATCTAGTTTCCCTTCGGAGGGACCTGACCCCCATGTTGCCAACCGCACCGACTCCAACGTTGATGCTTCGCAATTAATAATGTATTGGTCCACGATGGTATTGGTGTTGTTACTTATGGTAAAGGATCTGGATACTTCCTCCTCACTGTTGAAATCATAATTATCCTTATTTTAGTGCTATATGACCTCCTCTCAAGTCCTCGGTACTCTCCCCCTCCCTCTCTCCCTCTTGTCTACCAATCTGCTTGATTGATTTT